TCCTCCTCCTCCTCCTCCTCTGCCGGCCCGATGTCCGAGTCCTCCTCCGCACCCCCGCCTTCCAGGGCCGCCTCCCCAGCGCCTCCCCAGGAACCCGGCCCCGCGTCGCCCCCGCGAGGCTCCGAGTCGCGGTCCACCCGGTCGCCGGCTCTGGCCGCCTCGGTCTGGGCTCCAGCTGCGCCTGTGGGGCCCTCTGGGCCTCCCAGGGCCGGGTCTCCATCCCCCGTGGCCGACATGGCACCGGGCAGTTACCTCTACCAGGCGGGCGTCGATTGCTGTGGTGGCGCCGACGACCGCGCAGGCGGTGGCCGCTGAGGTGGCTCCCCTGACGGGAGGCTGAGGGCTGTGGCTGCCGGACGGGGAGGCCGCTGAGGGGACAACAGAGGAGCCCCCACGACAGGGAGGGGCCCACTGAGGCCGGGCTTCAGATAGCAGTGGGCCAGGCCGTGAGGGAAAGATTCCTCTAGGCCACAGACGGGGGGCGGGGCCAGAAGAGTAGACAGTGGGCCGTGCCCTCTCGTCACGAGCTCCAAGCTTATTTGCTGACAAGCGAGGATTGACGTGCCCTGTGCCCAGTGAACAACCAAGGCCCTTCCGTTGTAGGATTGCTCACAGTCGCCTCCCTGTTCTTTGGCGCCTCAGGTTTTACCCTATGTTCAGGTTCACAAGGCTCCTGTCCTTTTAATTTTATGATTGTCCAAAAAATTATTTATGGAGGCACCCTCGGCCATGTGAACTGTGAGGAGTTCCCACCTGGGAATTTCCACCTGGTAATGGCTCATGTGAGTAGGGACAGGGTCATAAAAATGTTGTATAGCTCAGAGGTTAGCAGTAGAAACCTCCCAAGAAGAGAAAGAGAAGAGTTTGGATGATTTTATGTAAAGATACTTGGAAAAGAGTAGTCAAAATTGAAATGGATGCAGTCAGGACTGAGTATTGAAGAAATGGTAAATGTAAGGAGCTGGAAGGTGTGTAATGAACCCAGACAAATTCACTTAAAGCCTCTAAAGACTGAATTAAAAAAAGGATGCTTCTTTTAAAGGACTAGGTCATCTCCTAAGAGCTAAGCATGACAATCATTAAAAGGACAGGCTCCCTAGGATGTTTCTGAGGCAACAGTCCAAGACTTTTTATTGATTTCAGGATCCACGTAATCAAGACATCAAGTGTAAGTAATTCGGAAAGTTCTGGAGAAATTAACTGCTATTTTATACTCATTCTGTAAAAAAAAAAAATTTGTAACACTAAAAATATTTTTTTGGAAATAAAACATCGCAAATAATATCTGGATGTTATATTTATGGAAAATAATACTAATCTCATAATGGTAAAGAGGGATTTTTTTCCTTTCACCAAAAGGAAAACCAAATTTCAATGTTTTTTTCCCTCTGTCTCACCTCAAGAATGGAGCATGGTGTTGCCATAAATCATTGGTTTAAATTTGGAAGGCAATGTCAAAAATCTGTAGTCCAAAATCCTCACTATAAAGACAGCAAAAATGAGGCAGAAGCCCAATCTGAGGTCTAGAGTTGGTTTTAACATTTGCCCCCCGATGTGATCTTGGAACAGTTACTTATCATTTCTAGGCCTCAGTTTTATCATCTGTATAGTTGGAGTTCATCCCCTACCTTTAGTCAAGGTTTGTTAGGTAGATGGAATGAGATGGGATTATATAATATTTAGGGTATTAACCATTTGTTGAAAATTTCGTTTTCTTAGTTTGATTTTGCTTTCTAAGTTGGTTAATATTTCTAAGTATGTAGTTTTTCATTTTCATGTTGTAAAATGTAATATTTCTTCATTTTAACATCATAAGTTTACAAATCTTTTCTCATCCAGAGATAAATTTTATACTTTCTTCTTTTTGGAAGTCTTCTGAATGTTTACATTTAACTCCTTAATCCATTTGGAATTAATAGTGACACGTGGTGTTAAGATTAAAATCCTAGTTGATTTTTAAACAGGTCACCTATAACACCATATGTTATGTAATTATTCCTCTCTATAAGGATGTGTGGCTATGTACCCTTTAGTGCTTTCTATAAAGGTAGAAGAGATGCAAGAGAAACGCAAATTCTCCCATAATTTCAGAGCTGGAAACGCCTTTAGATACTGAATCTAAGACCATTCTTTTTTATTTTTAAAATTTTATTTAATTTTATTAACATCTTTATTGGAGTATAATTGCTTTACAGTGGTGTGTTAGTTTCTGCTTTATAACAAAGTGAATCAGCTATACATATACATATATCCCCATATCTCCTCTCTCTTGCGTCCCCCTCCCACCCTCCCTATCCCACCCCTCTACATGGTCACAAAGCACCAAGCTGATCTCCCTGTGCTCTACAGCTGCTTCCCACTAGCCATCTATTTTACATTTACTCTTTCCACTCTTTTTTAAACTGGGAAACTAAGGCCTAGAGCTGCTAACTGGCTTCCCCAAGGCCATGCCACTTAATGGAGGAGCCAGGACTAGGACCAATCTCCTGACCTTTAATCTGAAGTTGAAACAGACCTTATATATGCAACTTTGGCCATCTTATTTCCTACTGGACATAAACAATATCATAGGACACCAACATCAGACATGGTCATTCCGAAACGATGTTGAAAGGAGACAAAACAAGGCAACTTTAATTTTGTTTAAGCAAGGACAAAAAGAAGGTCACACATTACTAAAAATCCCCCTCTCTTGGCTAAAATGAGTGTCTACCACTTCTTTACCAATTACATCCTTATCCTGGTTCTAGTCTCCTCTCCCTATAGATAAGATTTATTCAAATACCATCACAGAATTGCCCCTGCTATCTAAAGGCATCTAATCTAGAGCAAACCCCTGTTTCCTTGAAAACTTCCCAAAATAGCTCAACCAAACCCAACTCCTATAACAGGTTCTTTCTGACACTTGTTATCAAGACATCACCTGGTTCCCCCATGGTGTGTGTTCTCCCTCACTGCAATGAATAATAAACCCAACTCGCTCAACTACCGGCATGTTCTTGTGACCTTTGGCTGGAGGACACTGACAATGTAAAATATTCCCATCTTTACATTGTAATATATAGACTCAACCAAGTGAGTCAGGAGGCATTGCAATTTGTAGGCTTTTCTCAGAAAAGCCTTCTCAGAGGAGGGAGGACCTGGACTCAAAAGATGGGCAACATGTCCTGACTGAGGACAGTAGATGCAGGATGTTGTTTCCATGTGGCCCTTGTTAAAATGAGCTCATAACCCTAGCGGGTCCCTGGCTGTAAAAAAGCCTGAGCCTTGGGGTAGGCTAAGGAAGCAGATGTTGCTTCTGGCCAGAGGGCAGACCTGGGTGATGTGATAGAGGTTCCTGTGGTGAGGAAGGTGCCTAATAGGGCACCCCTATTTCCTACTGCGTGCTGTGATAGGGCTGCCTCCACTCTTCCTTAGCAGAAGCACATGCTCCTGGGTAGATGGATTTTTTCCACCTGTGAAAGCAGAGTATTTCTGCTTTCTTCACCTCCTCCTATCTCTGTACATTATTTTTTCAGAACTCTCAACAGGACCATCACTATTCACTTTAGAGGAGATAGCATGTTACAAAACAAAAAATGAAAACAAAACAAATCATACAAGTGTCTTTCCAGGTCATGAAAAACTGGGCTGTCCACTTGAAGCTATAGGACAAACACTCCAGACCCTACTTATAAGCATTCACAGAGAACATATTAAGCACCTACTATCTGCCAGGAATTATGTTAGGGCTTGGGGGCTCACAGGTATCTAAGACCTATGGCTTGTTCTGGTTCATGATCTAGAGGGTTTGACAGACACTTGGACAATGATGACACAAGCTGTCAAGTGCTATAACAGGGGTAAGCACAAAGTGCTAAGGAAGCATGGGAGAGTGAATGATTAGCTGGGGCTGGTGGGTGGGGGGGAGGAGAGGTGAAGGAGGTGGGCTGGTGCCTGGGAAAGTGCTCAAAGGGGGCATTTCAGGGGGTCCTGAAGCTACAAGTTCAAATGGAAGTAAAAAGGGGTGGGAGGGAGGTTACTACAGGCAAAGGAAGCAGCATGAACAGTGGCAGAGGTGTGTGAGTGTGTACCTATCCAGGGAATAAAATGGCAGGAGCACTGGTTAGAGTGGCAGAAGGGCCTTTAAAGTAGAAAGGGCCATGAATGCTTTGGTAAGGAGTTTGCCCTTTGTCCTGAAAAGTAGGTCGGCCTCCCAAACAAACAACCATTGAGATGGTGGTAGAGTTAGCAGAAGAGTTTGTGGTGCATGTAGGAAGGAGTAGAGTCAAGAAAAGGTCTGCTAAGGCCCTCCAAGGTCTTTCCAGCAAGTTTTAGTATCCACACTTTTCCTCTTTATAGAAATACTACATATTTTTTGTGCAACAGATTAATAAATCAGATAAGCCTAAACAGGGAATCAAAAATCACACATATCTTGCCCATACAAATGAATAAGATAATAAGTCAATAGGAAAATAAGCAAAGGACATGGATACATAAATCACAGGCAACTACAAATGGTTTTTAAACATATGGACAAATGGCTTTTGAACATATGGACATATGCTCAAACTCAATGTAAGTTAAAATTATATTAATCATTAGCATTTATTAAATACTTATAGGTTGGGCACTATTTTAAACATTGACATGGATTAGTTTATTTACTCCTTGTAACAACCTTATGATGTGAGCACTATTAATTATCCATCTTTTGCAAGTAAGGAAACCAAAACATGGAGAGGTTTAGCAACATTCCCAAGGCTACACAGCCAGTAAGGATCACAGCCTGAATTAAGAAAATAAAAATCACCCTTAATTTCACTAACCAGAAATGATCACTCTGCTACTTAGTATATAGTTCAGTTTCATTTTTCCAGGTTGGTAATAAACTGTGATTCTTTTTTTTTTTAAGTGTTAATTTAGGGCCATTTTAGTTTTGTTTTGTTTTTAATATTTATTTATTTATTTGGTTGCACCAAGTCTTAGTTGTGGCAGGTGGGCTCCTTAGTTGTGGCTCACCAGCTCCTTAGTTGTGGCATGTGGGCTCCTTAGTTGTGGCATGCAAACTCTTGTTTGTGGCATGCAAACTCTTGTTTGTGGCATGCATGTGGGCTCTAGATCCCTGACCAGGGATCAAACCCAGGCCCCCTGCACTGGGAGCAGGGAGTCTTATCCACTGCACCACCAGGGAAGTCCCAGAAACTGTAATTCTTAATTCCCCTCTTTGATTAGAGTTTCCCAGTCCCCAACC